TATATATATATATAGATAAGGACAGAACCTGTATTATTCGTATTAACCTGAAGAGACACAAATTATCGGCAAGAGGAGTAAAATCGCGATCGCGAATATATTGAAAAGAATCGTTATTATGGACATTATATCGGTGTTCTCTAATGTTAAGAAAGTAAGTAAGTTTCGAAGTGAAGAATCTCGAGGGAACGATCGGTACGATGCGCAGCAGCTTACGATCGTGTTACACGTGTTATCGTTTCCTGAAATGTGCTGCCGAGACAGCGAGGCACAGATTAGGTAGACGTGGAATGCGACGAACGACTTACCTGCTATACTCGATGTGGAGGCTCCGAGCCAAGCGTGGGATGACTCCAACAACTTGGCCTGAAACAAAAGGAAACGGATCTCGTTAGAAAATCTCGTTAGCGACGTCGGCCGATTGAAATCACGGCGGCCAAATTGCGAGTGGCGTATCGCAGTAGGCTTTTTTTTTTTTTTTTTTTTCTCTTTTTTTTTTGTTACAGTCTTATCCACGGCTCACGCACGTAAGAGTAAAGCCGCTTAACAAGGCTTGCGTAACTGTCAATAGAAAGATAATTGATACTTTTGTATCTAATTGATCTCGAAACGAAGAGAAATTATTTGCGCATGGAACGAGGTTAGAACTATTAAAAATCTTCTTACGTATCCTCTTTATTTAGAAATAGAATAATTTTAAGCGACTTCGAAATTAACGAAGTTAATTCGCGTGATATTATATATATTAGCAATATATAATCATATTATTGGGTGTACAGATTAATTCGTGGTCTCTTCTTTTCGTGCATTTGATGTGCTTTCGTTCAGGGTGGGAGAAAGACTAAAAATATTTCTCGAAAACACAACTTTTCGATTCTTTCGAGAATATTTTAAATTTCAAATCGGCGAAATAATGCTGGTCAGGCGAAGAGATAGACAGTGATAATCTAGATGACACGATATACGATCACTTCTTCGTTGCTCTTACGCTATGTTATTAAACGTTGTCATGCAATAATAGTGCCCGATCTGTGTCTTCCATACCTTTTCTTTTTAAAGTTATATCATTATAACAGTAACACTCGGCCAATTATAGATATCTTTACCCTATACGATTCATTACGATACTCTTTTTTTCCTTTCTTTCTTTTTTTTACGAAGTTCGATTTCTTCGAAACCAGCAACAAACAACCAGTCATATATAATAACAGGTTTGGTCACATTCTGGATTAAAAGACGCGCTTCCTTTCAAAGATCTCGAGAACCGACTCGAAAGCCGCGTTCGCGGAAAGGGTTAAACGCATTCGAGATTATTGTGGTCAGGGGGAATGGGGGAGAGGGGAGAGGAAAAAAGTCCATCGAGGTCGGAAGATGGTCTCTCTCGGCCGAGGGAGGGAGGGAGGGAGGCTTAGAACCGGAGGCTCGCGTCTCTGCCGACAACTTTACTAATATGCGAGTTTTTCCGAGTATAAAGGGGTTGCGAGACGCGGCAAAAGCGCAAGACACACGCAAAGTTAGCTCATTTGAAAAGTTTTCGTTCCATGGTGCGGCGGCCCGCGACTCGCGATTTCCGCAATACAGGAGAGATCGGAAACCGGCCCACCACCGACGTTCTCTTCATACATATATATATATATGTATATATATATATAACGGAGAATCGAGCAGCTTCCAGGAGCTGCACACCACTCGGAGGCGGCTGACTTTCCAAATTAATTTTTAAGGGTCGAAGGGCCTCGCTGCTCCTCATTTGATGATGACGCGCCTCTATCAAACCTCCCCCCTCCTTTCGCCGCGAGCCTCCCCGAGCCTCATATCTCCATGGAATTTCGCCATGCTTCTTCTCGAGTCGAAAAATTATTGCCGCGAGGACGCTTATACACAGGGAAGAGCACGCGCGCGCGCTTTAAACTTTCCTCGCCGCCACCACTCGGAGGAGGAGGAGCCTTTTTTTCCTCCGCATCCGGCATTCAGATCTCTTTTTCCCACGAATTCAACCGTTCACCACTCTCCTGTTTATCTTGGACGAAACGAAATCTGCGTTTGCGTTTAAAAAAAAAACGCCGCCGTTTCGTTTTCGCGGTAAACGCCGCGATGCAAAGCCGGAAATAACAATAAGGGTAATAACGTAACGAGGCAACAAAAGGAAAGATAGAACAGAACAGATAAAGACTGCTGCATTCTATTAAGAAAGAGAGAGAGAGAGAGAGAGAGAAAGATGAGTCCGATTGTCGAGACAATAATAATAATAACAATAATACTTATAATAGAGGTAGGTGCGGCTGTGTAGCGAGTCGGAACCTTGAACGGGAGAAGATAAGGCCTCCGTGATTCGTTCTACGTTCCTTCAAGATGACGGTGTCTAATTTATTCAATGCCGGTACACGCAGGCCAGCGTTAAACTCTGCCTTCTCGTAGGCTGGCTGGATTGGTAATCGTGGATTGGTCGTTACTACGACGAACAATATCCATCGTGCAATATCCATATATATATATATATACACACACGTGTATAATGAATAATTCGAAGATTTTGATCGTGGAACGATATCGCGTGATTTGGTAATAAAGAAGCGGATGAGAAGAAGACGGCGTGCGCGCGTGTCTCGTAGGAAACCGCAACGCGGCGCGTGCACCGGTGCAACGTGAGACGCGCACGGGAGGGAAATCGAGTTCGCCACAGGTACAAGTTCATCGTTGCACACGCGTCGCATCCTGTCATGCGTGCATTTTTCATCGTCTCGTGCGGCTGTCGCGGGGTGCGCCTTGAAGAATGCACGTCGCGGTGCACGCGACGCGCCACGCGCAACACGCCGCACCGACCGCTGTATTAACAAGAAAATTGCTCGTCGCATTCCTTGGACTTTTTTCCCTCCTCCCCCTTCTCCCTCGAATTCGACCTCCGCGATGTCGACTATTTTTCCAGGAGAATTTCTTGCGACTCGTTCGATTAAATGGATCCCCTCGTACGCTTGTTTTTTTTACGAGAAATTTACTATTACTCGTGGTTTTTTGAGGCTATGGAAAGATTGTTTTGAGCGGCTCGTTCGCGATTAATTTATCGTACGAGAGATATCATTGCTTCTAAGAGATATTCTAATTTCTAAATGGATCTTCTATGGTCGAAGATGGAGTAGGTATTTTTTCACTCGTCGTTGTATTTGAATTTAAAGAAGGCGTGAACGATTTAAGAGACGTTTGCTTCGTCGAATTTTCTATCGAATTTTCTGTCGATAGAGGATGATAAAATTATTGATACAGCTTGGAGAATATAAAAAAAAACATTTACCAGTAAATTGCATAACGAGTGTTACAATACTTGGACGAAGGTCAAGTGATTTATGAACTGGAAATATGCTTTTGTATTCACGACATTATTTTTCCAACTCGATGGACACATGTATTATTGCCGTATAGTGATTTTTTTCGAATCTTGGTGTCTTGATTTTCCATCGAGTAGTGAAAAATTGGACAAAAAGTATTTTCAAAAGTATCAAGAATATCGAAGTTTACAACAAGGAAGTAATGAAACTAACTGGAAATACATAAGACTGGAAATATTGTATTTTTTTTTAGAATACAGGAAAGTCTATAATACTACATTATTTCCACATACCACACGAGCAACAACTATTTTTAACTTAAAAAAAAAAAAAAAGGAATTCTTCTGTACTTATACCGCTCTCTCCAATTCAGGTATAACCTTTCCCCGATCCCACGATTAAAATTGAAAGCGAAAGATAAATGATTCCAATCCGAACTTGATATCCAACAAACCGTGACAAAAGATAAATCGTGAACAGATAGATAATCGGAACGATTTTTAAACTCTTTCAAACCGATATAAAGAAAACTATATAACAATTATTAGACGTTTCTTAATTCTTGACAATCCGTTTCACGGGAACGACTGGGCCCCCAAAATCCAAAGGGGGCCAACGATAAACAAAAGTCGGAATTAGACTAGCGAACACGAGAGAGCGGCCTAATTAAGAAAAGGCACGGAATTGCCGGTTCTCTCCCCCCTCCTACCGGACAGGTAGAGGTAAGGGACACACTCGCGGAAAATCCTGTGAACCTTCTCTCCACATAGGAGAGAATTTACGAGGTAGTCGTCTATCGTTGCTAATTCCTGCAAATATTTGCCGGGCAAGGATATAGGCGTGGGCGAAATGAATAGGCGTTGGAAGGACGCGGGGAGAGGAGAGGAGGGAGCGAAACAGAGAGACAGAGAGAGAGAGAGAGTGAGTGAATGTATGCACGGGGATTTGAGCGAATGCGAAGGGACGACGAGGACGAGGACAAGGACGAAGACTAGACTCGGCGAGAGAGAGCGGGTTCTTCTCTCCTTCACCGGTGCCACAGACGCTCCACAGACGCCCCACCGACGCCTTCGTTGACGTCGCCGAGGCTCCCGTCGACCGAGGCTGGAGTTTCACGCGGCAGAATGCACCGCGCCACGGCAAATTTCTAATCAGATTAGCGCGGATTAGCAAAGTTCGTTTGTTCTAATGAAATTCGTCTAAATTAACGTCGGAAGAGGGAGAGGAGCGCGCCGGAGGAGGAGGAGGAGGAGGAGGAACATCTAGGTAAGGGTGGGTCGTGGATGAACCCACCCAAGAATCATCATCGTTTGTCTTTTTCCCTTCCCCCCCTCCTCAGTCTATCCTCGCTTGGACAAAACTCAATTTTTCCTCAATCCTCGAGAAATTCTCCAATTCTCTACGCATTCCTAACAAGCATCTATCCTTCTATAAGTAAAAAAAGGTAAAAGAATATCATTAACCGCAATCCCCCAAATCTCTCCAATCGTCGTTCAACTTTTTCGCCTCGCAATTTTACGCTGCATAACTTGCAATTGAGAGGAGGGGGGAAAGATCGGATTCGGGGGATGGAAGGATGCACGCGTTTGGAAGAGATCGGCAGGGTGGAAATGGCACGTGATGGCCGAGCGAGCGGCGGAACGGAGATGAAGAGGAAAAGAAAGGAGAGGAAGAGGAGAGGGAGTCGGGCACGCGCGTTAATTGTCGTGGAAACGGGCTCTCGCGCGAAAACACGAGGCACCTGTGAATCTGCGCGCACGTAGGGGCACCACCACCACCGCCGCCGCCACCACCACCACCACCATCATCACCACCACGCGCGTGTAATCTAGGACACGCGGAGCCTCTCTCCACCTCTTTCGCACGCACGCGCTGATATTTTATTCACCGATATCGCGCGCAAACTATTCCACCGATAGTCACGGGTTTGTCGCGCTTAAGTTTCCCCCACCCCGTCGCCCCCGCCGTGCGTGGCCGAACACAAACAAGCGTGTTTTATTCATCGCGATGCGCCGAAAACATCGGGATGATGATGTTGCATCG